GGTATCGCGTCAATGAATATCAAAGTTGCATGTTTGGATTTGAAGCACCAGTAGGTTTCCCAGCCTTGCTTTATTCGCCTTAATGATGGCTTTCTTAATTTTATGGGCGACCGCGACACTACCAAATGAATTGCTCCTTTGCACTGTTTGTTCTCTCAGGCGCGATAGCGAAGGAGACGCTGCAGTAGTCCACAGCGAGATCTTTTCAGAGTTGTGGTGTGCATGCTGCCGCAACTCTTGGGAAGTCCCGGGGCATTGTTTCTCTGGTATCTATCCTGGCAAAACGGGCTGCATGCGAGGCCGGTTTTGCCTCTACGGATATCCAGCGAAACAGCACCCCGGTATTTCCCAAGAGTCTCAGCAGCATGCACACCGCGACTCTGAAAAAAAAAAAAAATCAAAAAAAAAAAAAAAGGCTGGGAAACCTACTGGTGGTTCAATATCGCAATGCATACGCAACACCATCTGCCTATCACTGCTAAAGATACAAGGTGTTAAAAAAAAAAAAAAAAAAAAAAAAAAAAAAAAGAGGGTACAACCATACAAGGTAAAAAAGAGGAAGCTATCCCACACCTATGTAGAGGAGCTTAGCAAAAAAGGGCACCCTTGCAACATTTGGTTGGGCATTGCACCTGGATGCCATGATTCCATCCGTCTCCTTAGAACGGAGGTTGCGCCAGGAATACCTGCCGCCTTCACCCGCACAGAACACCTGGTCATTATCGCTGCATCTGGAATGGAAGTTGCCCCAAATGCCTACCGCTACAAGAATTCTATTCAGGTGAAGATGGTAGAAAGCAAGCTGGCGTTCCCTATACCTGACAAAAAAGGGCACCCTTGGTTCCGAACTCCTGGACGCACCTGTGCAAATTATTACACCAAATTACAAGTGGATGAAATCGGTCGAGTGGTATCGGTAGGAGATCTGTGTTCGCAGCCAGCATGCATGGGACTCGACATGTGCAGTGTTGTGAGAGGACCTTTTTCTTTTTTTTTTTTGGGGGGGGGGGGGGGGGGAAAGCCCTTGTGCAAGGCCTCTATCACAGTGGCGGTAAGAGAACCACCAGGATTGATTGAGGCTTTGTCAGTGGGCCCCTCCATCTATTGGTGGGGACGAGGGCACCTGCTGGAAACCGGGTCCAGCGCCCCTTTAGTACATCTTGAATACATATTTTTCCGAATTGAGCCATGATAATGTGTATCCCTTCCAGCATTGATAACCCTGGGCTGCAGGGGAGGGATTGACTGATCAGGGCTGGGGGTAGCCAGGAGGGGGGCCACTGCCTCGGGTCTGGGGGGCACCGATCGGTCCTTATGGCACCACCCACCCCTCGTACTAGTTCCTGATGATGCCGAACGAGCTCGGGGGCTTTGTTGGGCCTTTGAGAGTGCTGCCCGTCTCCCCCAAGGGCCCCAACTGACTCTGTCCCTTGCCTGCCGAGCCCTCCGGCAGGTCCAACCTTCACTGTCTGTCCTTTGCCTGCTGAGCCCTCCTGCTCCTTTGATCAAGGCGACTGCCCGACTACTGCTTTGTTAATGGAGCATAAATCCTGATAGGGGGAATATTAGGTCTGTTTTTTTTTTCTCTCTTTCTCTTTTTCTTTTTCGTAGGAACAGCAGTTATCATGTGCCACCCAGACTATTCTTTTCTGCAGCTGAAGCTTTGGCACGGCTGAAAAGGCACCTCCCCTTTTCTGCAACCCTCGCCATTTGACTGGGCACCCAGATGGCCCACAGGAGTTATGTTCATGGGAAGAAAGCATGAACCTGGCCATTTTAGAAGCCAGGCTCATGCTTTCCATGGAATGAGGCCCATGAAAGGAAAAAGAAAGGGGCCTGCAGAGGGACAGAAGGTGAAGTTGAGAAAGAAAGGCCAAAAAGGAAAAGAACTCGAATTGGATCCTGGAAGATGCAGTAGAAAAACAGAGCCACTTCACGGGGTACCAAGCCTCCTATGTAACCGCGCGCTGATTGAGCGCAGGGTCCACGCTCCTCGCTCAGAGTACGGTGAGGGGTGGAGAAGCCCGCAGGGGGGTGGAGCGCGCACGCGCGTGAGAGAGAGAGAGAGAGCAGGGGTCGTTTTCTAATGAATCTGGATCCATTTCTGCGAGCGCGCGCGCGAGAGAGAGAGAGAGAGAGAGAGAGAGAGAGAGAGAGAGAGAGAGAGAGAGAGAGAGAGAGAGTCCATTTCCAATTGAATCTGGCCCCATTCGCGCAAATGGGGCCAGATTTCATTGAAAATGGAGTCTCTCTCTCTCTCCCCTTTGCGAATACTTGCACGCTCTCATGAGAGAGAGAGAGAGAGAGAGAGAGAACGGAAGAGAGCGCAGGGACCATTTTCGATTGTATCTGGCCCCGTTTTTGCATGGCTCTGGCTCAGAAATGGGGCCAGATTCTTTCAAAAATGGCCCCCGGTCTCTCTCGCGCACATGCACGCGCTCTCATGGGAGAGAGAGAGAGAGAGAGAGAGAGAGAGATTGTCTGATTTCTGCGCCAGATTCCGGCCTAACATCTTCAATCAATCAATCAATCCATCTTTTCTTTTTTTTTTGCCTTTTTTTAACCTCTCTCACCCCAATCCCCCTCAAAGGAGAATCCTTTTTTATTTCTTTTTTTTGTCACCGGCTCCCGCTCATTTTTTGCACCTTTCCGCTGCAGAAATTGGTTTGGGCGCTTTTGAGCGCACACTCAGGGGGTTTAAGCGCATGCTCGAGCGCTCAGCGCTTAAACGGTTACATAGGAGCCTCGAAAGTGATCTATTGTCGTTTTCGTTTTGGCGGGTGGTGCTTTGAACTGCTTTCCATTCTTTTTCTTTTAGGTTACCCGAAGGGGGCCCCGGCGACGGCAATTTTCATCTGGCCTTTTTTCAGAACCGGGGGGGGGGGGGGGGGGGGGTTTTGAAGTTTGAGCTGCTTTCCATTCTTTTTTTTTGGCAAGTCGCGGCAACCAGCCACTGGAAAGGGTTTTTCAACTTTTTCGGTTTTCCTTCTCTTTCTTTCTAAAAAGGGCTACGGCCTACGGCCTTGAGATATCATCATGCAACCGACGGGCACGAGGTAATATTCAGAATAATAGTATTTTACTCATTTACTTCTGGGACGCTGGATCCGTCTTCCAGCAGGCGATGCTTCCCACCAATAGATGGAGCGGCTCCCCACAGGTGCTAGTGTTCTCTGCTCTTATCAGCAGGATTGAGCACCACTAACACTGGTGGGGGCGTGTTAATAAATCAATTAATTAATTAATTAACTACTTAATTAATTAAAAAAAAAAAAAAAAAAAAAAAAAAAAAAACAGCTTCCAATGCAGTTTGAACTCGGCTCTCTATTTCAACAGTTCCAAGGGTATACGAGCTGCGAGCTGAGCTAGGCCAGTTGGTGAAAGGACTTTTCTAGCTTCACAGGCGCAGGTATACTTTTTACCGCCGGTAACTTTGAGAAGGAAGCTGTGCAGGTAAATTACCGCCGGTAACTTTGACAAGGAAGTTGAAGTTGTGCTGAAGATTCTAATACGGAACGAGACCGTACAAGGGGAACTCTGCGCGTGAATCGACTCCTTTCCATGGATAAAGTCGACTGGAAGGGGTTGTTTAAAAAAAAAAAAAGAGGAGTAACGGGGGAGGTATTCTCCTCTTGCATGTCCAATGCGAGAATCAAACACACAACCGACGGCTTGTCAGGCAAACACCCAATGCGGTGAATGGGAATCCCCAAGACGAGTACTTCACCCAGCCGCAGCACGAGTTGCTCCGTGCCACGGTGTACCCAACCAACCACACTCATCCCCACGTCGCACAGTCACACATCCGTACAATTTCTACGGTGGTTGGCTGCTTGAAAGTGAAACCAATGCATGCCCAATCCAAGAACCGAACACACAACAACCGACGGCTTGTCAGGCAAACACCTAACCAGTTCAATTGCAGCAGGTGCAGCTCCCCACCAATGGAACGGAGCCATTCGCAAACCGCGGGCCTAGAGGGGGGTCTGCTCTTATCAGCACCTCCCCCACGCCTGACCGCGATGTTTCCCACAAAAAAAAAAAAAAAAAAAGGAATGTTCACTTTCTCCTGTTGGCCTGAGCAGCAGGACACGCAACCACGCGCTCATTCATACTTTTGGTTTTTTTAAATTTTAAGTGTGTCGAACCGGTTACAACTGTGTAAGCCTGGAAGGAATGTTCAATCAGCAGGAAAGCGTAGGTCGGGGGTTGTTTTCCTCTTGAGACTGAGCAGCGGAACCGACAACTACACGCTTATTCGTACTTCTGTTTTTTTCAAGTGCTCCGCACCGGATGACATTGTGCAAGCAATGTTTAATCAGCAGCAGAAAGACCTACGGTCGAGCGGCCGTACGTTTCATCCGTCGTTAAGAAAGTGTTATAATGCTGTGCGAACTTTTGTTGTATTCGATACGTACTTTTCGACGACGAACAGAGCAACAATGGGGCATCGTTGTTCCTGTAAAGATTCGAACAGGTGAGAGCTCAACCAACAGGGATTGACATGAGTACCTCCCAAAAAATACGACGACGAAGGCGTATAGATGGAGGAAAAAGGACCAAATGCGCACACAGAAAAAAAAAGAAAAGGGAGAAAATAAGGAA